GGCCTGCGCTCGGGCCCGCGGTGGGCCCTAGGCTACGCTGCTTGGCTCTGCCACTTTGCTTGGCCCATGCGCAGCGCCCTCGCCCGCCCACGGCTTGCCTGCAGCTCGCCGTCAAGCGACCGAGGTCCGCAGATGCGGGGTCGACCAGCCAGGGCCAGGCCGGGCCAAGCGAGCGCACACTCATGACTGGCCCCGCCCGGCCTCTCTCAGACGACCCACGCCCCCTCTTGGCCTTCGGCCTCCCTTCCGCCCTCGACCTGCTTCTCTGCCACCACCACCACCACCACCATCAGCCTCAAATACCTCCATATCGATCTCCCTTGGCAATCCACAATCACACCCCACGCCTCCTTTGCAACCTCGACATCCACCTCCACCGCCCAGTCACCATGAGCGCGGCACGATCCGGCCTCTACTCGGCCACCCGCTCCCTGGCCAGGCGTACCGCACTCCCCACCGCCACCCGCGCCTGCCCCTCGCGAGGCCTCATCGTTCCCTCGCGCGTCGCCCTCAGCCAGGACAGCCAGCCCGAACACCCACAACACAAGCAGGGCATCCTCAAGTCCCTCCTCCACGGCTCCGAAAAGGCAAAGGCAGAGGGCGTCACCGCACAGTCCCACTCGGCCCAGGTCGCTCGTGGAAAGTACATCCACGAAATCCAGCGTGAGTAAACGCCGCGCTGCACATCTTGCCCACCCGCCCGCTTTCTGCTTATCCCCCTTTCCCCCGGCTATTCCCCTCGCAGGCCAGAGCGTCGCGCCGGAAAAGGTTGACGAGTACAAGGCGCTTCTGTGAGTGTGCCTCGACGTCGTGCTAGTCGTCTTGGTCGCCTGAAGACGCATCCGCCTGACTCCGTATGCTCCATCCTTGACCCCGCCACGACCAACGCACGGTAGCGCCGACTTCTTCCCCAAGCTGGCCAACAAGGGCCTCCCCATGCGGCTCACGGGCTCCTGGGAGGTCACCGTCGGAGATCTCGAGACGTTCTGTAGGCGTCGTTCCGGGCTTGAGATCCCGCAGGGGCATCGTGCCACCGTACTGACATTCCTCGCCCTTCTGCCTTCGTCAGACCACATCTGGGAATACGACGGCTACGCGGGCTACGACACTGCCGACAAGGCCCTGCGCGAGGACCCGGTGAGTTCGACTGCAGCAGTGAGCCTTCCCCTTGGCGACAATACATGCTCACTCGACCCCCTTCCCCTGGCGCCTGTCACTTTTCTGGCACCTACAGGACTTTCAAAAGTTCCAGGCTTCGATCCGCGGCATGCTGACGGGACGCACAAACTGGCTCACCCAGGAGTTCAGCTTCTGGCCCTCGAGCCCGCCCGTCACCACCAACGGCCTCTACGAGCTGAGGACCTACCACCTCAAGCCCGGCCACCTCTTGGAGTGGGAGCAGCACTGGCGACGCGGCCTTGAGGCCAGGCGCCGCTTTGTCGAGCCCATCGGCGCCTGGTTCACCCAGATCGGCGGCCTGCACACCGTCTTCCACATCTGGGAGTACCCTTCGCTCGACGAGAGGAAGCGCACCCGCGACGCTGCGTGGCAGGTTGAGGTGAGTCGATGCCGTCTGCCGCGTGGCGAGGAGCCGTCGAGCGGCCTCACTGACGCTGATCCCCTCTTGCTCACCGTGGTGATACGTCTGCGTCTGCATCCAGACCTGGGGCGAGACTGTCAACGAGGTGAGTGGGCGCCCCCCGCGTCGGCCGCTATCGTCGAATGTCACGGATCCTCTTCGAAGCTGACGCCCTTGTCTTCTGCGTGCCCCGAACCCCCGGCCTCAACCACCCCGCAGACCGTCAAGCTCATCGACAAGATGCACGCGCAGATCATGCGCCCGCTGCCCTTCAGCCCGCTCAAGTAGGCGCCAATGAAAAGGAGAACAAGGGGCGAACATGTGCTGCTCTCGAGCAACGATCTATTCATGTTGCCGCGCCACGGAAGCGCCGCCACCAGCACCCGCAATCTACGCCCTTGATCAAAGACGGCGCGTCGGACTCTATTGACGAACCGCTCAGGCCGAGGCGGCGCGGAACTCTTCCCACGTCTTGCGCCCGCACTCGTGGATCTTGGACCAGGTCTGGGCGACGTGCTCCTCGCGCGTCTGCGGGCTGCCGACGACGAAGCGAACGCAGGTGCCCACCTCGGGCAGCACCGTCGAGGTGAGGACAAAGTCGGCCGTGTAGTCCTGCAGCCGCGTCCAGAAGAGCTTGTTGAGCGCCTCGAGGTCGACGCCGTCGGCAGCGGCAGCGGCAGCGGCAGCGTGCGAGTCGCCAGTGAGGCCGTTAGCGACGGTGCTGCTGCTGCTGCTGCTGCTGCTGCTGCTGCTGCTGCTGCTGTCGCCGACGAACTTTGCGGAGCGAGACGGGTTGAGGCGGAAGACGACCATGGCCCAGCGCGGCGGTGCCACCACCTGGAAGAGGTCGCCCGCGTCGCCCTGGAGCGACTCGAGGAACGTCTGGGAGAGATCGATGCACCGACGCAGGTGGTTGCGGAAGCCGACCTGGCCGTAGCTGCGGAGGACGAACCAGACCTTGAGGCTACGGAAGCGGCGTCCGAGCGAGATCTGGAGGTTGCGCATCTCCTCGACGAGGCGGTGCGTGCTGGCCGCGGTGCGGAGGTAGGCCGGCGTGACGGTGAGGGCCTCGGTGAGGAGGTTGCGGTCGCGGATGTGGAGCGGCGAGCAGTCGAACGTGACGAGCCCCCACTTGTGCAGGTTGGTCGAGAACGAGTCGACGTGCGCGTTGATGGCGTCGAGGTGGCACGTGTCGCGCAGCTCGGGCAGGCTCAGCCCCACGCCGGCATAGGCTGCGTCGACGTGCAGCCACAGGGTCGGGTGCGAGCGCGTCACCTCGACAATCTCTGTGAGGTTGTCAATCGCGCCCGAGCTCGTCGTGCCCACCGTTGCCACCAGCATAAAGGGGATGCGACCCGCCCGTTCGTCCTCCTCGATGGCGGCTCGCAGCGTCTCGCCGCGTAGGCCGAAACCGTCGGACGACGATACCTCGAGCGCACGGAAGGCCAGACCGAGGATCAGCGCGGCCTTGGATCCGACCGTGTGCGTCTGTCGTCGGGCATCGTGAAGCAGAGGTCAGAGGGGGCCGTCAGGGACCAGCTTACCCTGCGGCGGCGGCGGCTGGGATGGATCCCGAGCGGACAACTCACCTGCGTCGTGCCGTACATGACCAGCCGGCTGGTCACGTCTCCGCGGAGCTTGGCGTGGCGCGAGTTGGCGTCCTCGGTGGCGTCCTGGCCCACCTCCGCTGCCGTCTTGCCAGGCACCTGCGCCGCCACGTCGCGGTCCGAGTCGAGGCTGGCAGTGGCCGTGCCCTGTTCGTCGGTCGCCGACGTCGCCTTGGCCGAGGTGCCGTTGCGCTGTGCGGCGCCGCCCTTGCCCTGTGCGATGATGCGCAGCGCCCTCTCGCGCGCGGCGATGGCGACCGTCAGCGTGACTTCGCTGGCGCTGCCGAGGATGATGCCTCCTCCCGTCCCCGACGACGAGGTCGACAGGAAGGCTTCCGAAAGGCCGAGCATCTTGGCGATCCAGTCCATCATGAGGATCTCGAGCCTGCGCGTCAGACCAGGCGTTAAAGGCATGTCAGCGCGAGGCGGTCTCTTCCAGCAGTCACCACTCGGACGGCAGCGACGGCAAACCTCACTCGGTGACGCTTGGAGAGCAGCTCCAGTTGAAGCCAGGGTTGGAGATGGCGGCGCAGTAGAGGTCGGCCAGCGCACCCTCGAAGGTGGTGTTGGACGGGAAGAATCCGTAGAAGTTGGGGTGTTGCCTGCAGAACATCGAGCGGGACAGAAGGAAGGGAGATCAGCATGGGCGTCGTCTCAAGGACCTCGCATCGCTGGGCGGCGGTATACGTACCAGTGGGTGATGCCGGGCATGATCTTGGAGTGGAAGTCGTCCTGGATCAGCTGCCACTGCTCTGGCTCCTCGGGCGCCGCTTCGGGGATGGCATCCTCGAGGAAGCCCGGCTTGACCTGGGCCGAGACGGGCTGCTGCTGGAGCGAGGCATAGTAGTCGCAGATGCGGTCGACGGCCTGGTAGCCGGCCTTGCGGAAGCTGCGCGGCGGCGGGCGAGGTCCAAGGCGGGGAGGTGAGGGACGCGTTGAGCGGGCAACGAATGGGGCGGCATGGACGGTCTGCTCTTTGTTCTTGCTGCGGACTCACCCTTCGATGTCCATGGTCGGTGGCAGTGGGAGGTGGCGCGATGGTGGTGGCGGCGGTGATCCCGACGAAGGCGGAGCCCACCGAGGGACGCGAAGAAAGCCAGCGAGGCAACGGACCGGCAACCAACTCGGCTCGAAGTCGGCCGAAGGCGGGGCGGAGCAGTATGTAGGCAGGCAGGCAGGCAAGGCAGCAAGAAGCAGGTCGGCAATGCGGGGTCTGCCCAAAGCCACGCGGCTTCCGGTATCCCGAGCGGGGCCAGGGCAAGGCCAGGCGGCTTCCCCGATGAGCAGACCGCGGGTCGACCCCGATGAGAGGCCCTTGCGCCTGGCGCGGCCTACCTCCGAGACCGGCAGGCTGTGCTGGCACCGGCGGGCTCCCTCGATTCCTCTCGGCGTCTTGGATGACGACCCGAAATCGCCAAGGCAGGCGAGCCAAAGGACAGGTCAGGTCAGGTCAGGTCAGGTCAGGACAGGTCAGGTCAGGTCAGGTCAGGTCGGGCCGCGCCGGTGACGCCCCCACCTCTGTGGTCGGCCAGCGAGCCAGCGGGCGCCAAGCTCGAGTCAGGTCAGGCCATCTTGACCGTCAGCATCCTCGCCGGCGCAGGCAGGGAATCAGATAGCCCGCCGCCAGCAGCGCAGCAGGTAGGAAGTCCTACGCACGGGCGGGCGGGCCCAATCCGTTCCCGCCTCGTCGCAACAGCCGGCCCCCTTTGCAGAAGAAGGCAGGGGGGCGAGCAACCTTCCCGAAAGAAGGGCGCATTCCAGGTCGGGTCATCCGATACTCGACAGAAAGAGGGGCGCCCCGCATGACGGGGGTCGAAAAGGGAAGCCTCACGCTGGGACGGAGCGCTATCGGTAAGCTCGCTCGTCGAGGCCAGGTGGAGCCGGCAGCGAGCCAGCGCACGCCGGCAGGCTGGCGTCGGCCGGTGTCTGAGATGGCCCTGGCCGAGGAGGCGAGCGAGGGAGCGAGGGAGCGAAGGAGCGGGCCAGGCTGGCCAGACGCCAGGCAGGGATGGATGGCAGGCAGGCATGATGCGGCCTGACAAAATGCCGCCGCCGCCCCATCGTACGTACGTCGTGTGCGCGGGGGGAAGCGAAACGAGCGGCCAGGCAGGCAGGCGGCCAGCGAGAAGCTTAGCTTGGTCTGTCGATCCTCGCCTCACCTTGCTTGATGGCTCGCTCGCCTTTTTGGCACTCGCGGCCCTTTCTTCTCCTTGTCCCTTTGCCATCGGTCCCTGCCTGTTCCAGCCTCTCTCCCTGCCTCCATCTCGTTCTCACCATCCGCTCGCCCGGGCCTTCGGAGCAGCCTCCGCCAACGTCGATTCGCCATCGCAAATCACAAAAGGAAGCGCCTCGGACCTACCCTTTGTCACGCCGGCCCGGTCCGACCCACCTCGGCGTACGTAGGACGGGGAGCACCGCGGCTGCGCAGCAAGGGTCAGGCTGGCTGTGCACTGCGCGCCAAACCGGAGCTGCACTTACAGTACATACCTACCTGCTGCGAGCCCGGCAGCGTCCCGGAAGGCAGCGCCCGACCCCACCCGCCTCGGCGCCAACCTTGGGGCCGCTTCCTTGTTGGCTTGCGCGCTACCTTTGTGTTGCGCGCTCCCCACCGCCTCTCTGTCTGCTCGACCCTCTTGCACCCTGGCACCCTGCTACTACACTTTGCACCTCTTTGAACGCAAGTCGCCGGCTACGGCCATCGGGCACAGCACCGTCGCAACCTGGGACAAGTAGTGCCCGCCCCTCCACACACAAAGGAAGGCTGGACGCAGTAGTGTGAGTGAGGCCATGCCTTTAAACGGTTGCCACCATCTTCCCGCAGAGCGCCTCTCCTCGGTATCTGGCTATCCCCGTGCCGCTCAGCAGCTCAACTCACTCCGTTTTTCCACTCACTCTGCCCCGTCTCCGCTCTGGCATCCTCGTGTGACCATCACTACCACACTCCGCCACCTCGACATCTCCCACTGCGCCGGCTGACCCATCCATCGTCGATCTCGACCATGCTGCGGCCGCCTCAGGACTCGCGCCATCGTCGCTCACTCTCCGCAAGCGACCCCTGTTGCCGACCGCCTTGCTCCTACCGTCGCCTCTACGCAGCAGCTCCGGCGCATGCCCAGCACCAGCCGCTCCAGCCCAGCGCCGTATGGAATCGGAGGCCTTTGACGGCTGCCGTTGCCGCACCATCGCCCCTGGCCTTTTCCACCTCCAGCCCCGCCCTCTACGGACCGGCGGCCATCATGTCGGGCGTCTCTCCCGACGACGGCGCCGAGCCAATCAACTTCCGTGCCGCACTGGCCGCCTTTGAGGGCAGGCCGACGGACGCCTCTGGCCCGCAGCTTCATGCTCCCGTCGCCAGCAGGCGCTCCCACACCAACAAGCCCAACATCGCCGTGGTCGTCTCGACCCGGGACGCCCACGAAGATGCTGCACACGAGCCCGTGACGCGCTCCAACTCGACGCCCAAGATCCGCGGTGGCTTCAACGGTCGATCCCACCTCGCTGCCAACCCGTTTGCAGCGGCCGAGGACGAGGAGGCCAGGCAGCCACAGGATGCGGGCCTGCTCAAGGCGCCCTGGCCCGCACTGGGATCGCAGGAATCCGATGCGTCGCGGCTACGAAAGACGGGCAGCGGCACCAGCCTGCGCGACCTGATGCAAAAGAGTCTCCCCGACGGCCAGAACCGCAGCAGGAGCAAGTCGCTCGCCGGACGTTCGGTCGACGGCCTGAGCCTCTCCGGTCGATCGACGCCGACGACATCTGGCAGTGGCACGAGCAGCCCGCGCCTGGGCGTGCGGAACATCATCGCCCTCTATGGCGGTCAAGGCGGAGACCCGGCCGGTGGCCCTGCAGCCGGCCGGGCTGCAGCTCTGTCTGGCGCCAATGGCGGCTCCGACCTCCTCTATGGCGGTGGCCTTCGCACGTCGAGCCCGATGTCGATTTCCTCTGCCACCTCGCTGCGTACGCGGCACATGCTCGACGCCAGCAACGACGACGATCAGTACGACCCGCTCTTCGGCCACGCTGTCATGGACCCGCGGCCAAAGTCGTCCTCCGGGCTCCAGTCCGCTCCCGTCAGCTACCCGAGTTCTCCTCAGCAGACCGGCCCGGGACCGGCGACGGCACACACCCCGAAGCGGGGCGCAGCGCCTCCACCGTTTCTGCGCACTGTATCGAGCTCGCAGATCATGGCCGGTCGAGGGGGAGGCGAGCCGCCGCCAAGAGTGCCCGCGCGCCCCGCTCTTCAGCCTCCGTCGCCTCCGCGCCGAGGCAGCCAGTCCTCGACGTCTTCGTCGATCAGCGTCGGCCCACGCCTGCCTCCGAGGCCACCGACCGGCAACGCGCCCCCTTCCGTGTCCGAGTTTGGCCAGATTTCAGATCGGTCCTCGACCGCAGAAGCAAAGGCGCACCCTGCTTTGGCGTCCTCCGACAACGCTGGCCACGTCTCGTACGCGACCTACACGCCCGGCGCCAGACGCCAGCCTCCCGCGCCATCGCCAGGCGGGCACGGCGGTGAGACTGGCCACCCGCCGCCGGCGCTTCCTCCACGAAGCGCCACAGTGGGCCAGAATGGAACGTCTCGAACCGATTTCTCCAACGGCGCCGGCAACACTGCCGAAGACGGGCAGCTGAGCTACGCTGTCCGAACTCGAAGCCTGGGCAGGCCGGTGCCCAAGAGCCCTTCGCTGCCTTCGAGCATGATGGCATCGACGACCCCGAACGCGAAGGCCGAGCGTCCGGACCCGCCGCCGCGTCCGAGGATGCTCCAGGTCGACGGCAACGCCGGCGGGTTTCGCTTCGGCGGTGGCGCATCTTCGACCCCATCGGCGCCGCCTGCGCCGCCTGCCCGCGGCCGTCCTCCGGTGCAGACGCACCACCGCGGCGCCCTGGGGAGCATGGGGTCGGACCCCAACTCGTCTTCGTCGTCGGCGTCGTCTCCGACGTCGACCTCGACCACCGTCTCCAGCACGACGCGCGGCATGTCGCACTCGCATGCCAAGAGCCCGAGCAACGTCTTCACGAGCATCAGCCTGAGCGACGACGCTTCGCGCGACCTGCACCACAGCCTCGAATCCGACATCCTCCAGCGCAGCACGCGCGAGCACCCGCCCAACGGCCCGCCTTCGGCGCCGGCGGCGGCAGACGGCGGCCACAGGCTGCCTCCGCCAAGGAACCGGTACGGGCACTCGGTCAACCGCAGCATCGGCAGCACGATGGGCATCACCTCTTCGCCCAACCTCGGCCAGGCGTCCGCCGGCAAGACGCTGTGGGAGAGCGCGAGCTCGGCTCTGCCGTTGCCCTTCAAGACGAGCGCCGCCAGCAGCGCTAGCGGCAGGGCACTCGCCGAGGGTGCTCCGTCGCGGCAGCAGCAATTTGTCCCTCGCCCTGCTGGCGCAAATGACTCCATGTTTGGTGCGCGGCCGGGTGAGAGCCTCAACGGCGCGCGCTCCAACAACTGGCCGGGACAGCTGCAGATCCGGCCCGTGCAGCTGGCTTCGCCAACGGCGGACAGGCACCCTCCACGCTCGACGACGCCTGCCGACGACGGCGCACGGCGGCGCTACGAGGCGCTGTTCGAGCGCTGCCTGAAGGATCAAGAAGCCGCCCGTGCCAAGCAGGCTCTCTGGGATGACAAGGAGGCCCGAGGCTTTGGCAGCGCACGAGGCAAGCGGCAGCCGTCGGCCAAGAGCATCGCGGCTGCCTTTGAGGCCAGCGGCGCAAGGGACCGCGCCGGTAGCCAGCTCTCGACGCACTCGGCCCCGATCGAGGACCGAGATGTCTCGAGCGGGGTCGGCGTCGAGGCGGCAAAAGGCTGGTTTGAGCCCCGCTCAGGATCGCAGACCCCCACCAGGGCGAGCGTCTCTCCGCCCGTCTCCCGCTCAGCACCATCGGGCCCGCTGCTGGCCACCGGCCCCGACAAGCCTACGGCCAAGCTGTCGATGGGCAGGATCCGCAAGGTCTGGCAACGCTCGCGGCTGCCCGACCGAGTGCTGGCCGACATCTGGGATGCCGCGGCAGCCGTTCAGAAGGCGAGTGAGCTGGGCGGTCGCACCTCGAAGGGTCTCGGCAAGGAGGCCTTTGTGCGTGCGATGGCCGCCATCGATGCCGAGCTTGCGCAGCGGGCCACCAGGCGGCGATCGAGACTGCTGCGGCAGCGAGCTTCTGGTGCTGCCGTCGGCCACGGCGCGCCTGACCAACGCAGCAAATCCCGACTGCCCAACGGCGGCGGCGGCGGCGGCGGCGGTCTCTACCATTCGGACAGGGACGGCATGCGTGCCAGGCCGAGCAAGGACGGCATGGGCTACGGCAGCGCCGCATCGCGATCGAGCAGCGTCCATTCTTCCCACAGCCGCCGTGGCGAGCCGTCGTCGCCGTCAATGTCGAGCGGCCTGGCGCTGAGTCACGCTCCTCGTCGACCCGTCGGCCTGTCGAGCGGGCGCGACGATCAGCGTAGGTCTAGCGGCGAGTCTGACAGCATCACGGTCACGGGCGGTGGCGGCTACCCGCGGAGGGTGCCGCCGCCGCCCGTGTCGCGTTCGAGCGATCCCTAGGCCGTCCGTCGACGGACGATGCGCTTCAAAGGACACTATACTACTACTATCTCCGATCGGTCTCGGTCCCGTCTTTGACTGCTTTCCTCCCCTCCTGTGAGCCTCACCCTATCTTCGCCCCACGTGTTTTTGGCCCCGTCACCCTCAGCTGCTGTTCCCCCTCCTGCGTCACCGGTCAAGATTCATTGCTCGCCTTGCCATCCATTGATGCACTTCTGCTCTCGTTCCACTGCTCGGAGATGGCTCCGACTCACCTTCATTCCAGCTTTGCGGTGCTTTCCTCGCTTCCTCGCGCGCTCTCTCTCTTTCACACACTCTCACCCTCTCTGTCTCTCGGCTGCTGTAGACATCTAGCCCTGGTCATCCTCTGTCTTGCAATGGGAAAGCGCAACCGATCTCTTAAACTAGGCGTAAGGCTGGCGAAGGGGTCAGTTCCAGAGGGGGCGAGGAGGGTACAAGTACAAGTTGGGGGACCGCGGGGGACCGCGGGGGCAGGCGGACGCGCAGGGGGGCGCTGTTGAGAAGGACACGGGTGAGATGGGAGCAAGGGCAGCGGGGTGGGCTTGGGATCGCCTCGCCTGGCGTCGCCTGTCAGTCGTCTGCGGTGGTGGATGCGCCAGTGACTTGGGCGGTGACGGGTGCCATGGTACCGCTGATGAGGTCTGCAGAGGGGCGGGGGAGGCGAGAGAGGGGAAGTGCGATTCGGCCGATGAGCGCCATGTTACTGGGCATCCACCTTGCTGGGCTCTTTCTCACCCTGTATGCTGTTCTCGAGTGCATCGATCCGGCTCGACATTTCAGTCACTGCAGGGGGGCGGCGGGCGGGGAAAAGCGGTGACGGGGCGGTGAGGAATCAGCATCGGCGTGGCGTGGCGTGGCGTTGGGTCGTGAGGCAGGACAGGGCTGGGCAATGGGAGGCGCACTCACTCCTAGCGCCGACCTGGGCGCTCATATCGTCGCAGCGGTTCTCGAGTTGTACGAGGAGCGTATCGACCCAATCGACGAGCTGGTGCGGCGAAGTAATGTCGCCCATGACTGGCGCCGTCGCTGCCGTTGCCCCTGTTGCTGTTGCTGTCGCTGTGGCTGTGCCGGCTGTCGTGGCAGGAACGGTGGATGGTCCAGCCGTATCGGCTGTTTGAGGAGGCGGGTTGGAGCTGCTGCCCGATGTGGGGTTGGTCGACATGTTTGCTGTTGGACGATGATGGTGGTGGTGGTGGTGGCGGTGGTGAGGAGGAGGGAGGGAGGGAGGGAGGGAGGGAGGGAGGGAGGGAGGGCGGGAGGGAGGGGTGGCGT